GTGGCGCGGTCGGCGGCGGCGGCGCGCTGGAGAGGGGGTGGGAGGTGCGAGCGAGCGTGCGAGAGTCCAGCGCGCGGGAGCGGGCGCAGCAAATAAGCGGCGCGCGATTACGTTTCGGTCCGCGCGTTAGACTACGTATGCCGCGCGCGCTATTTTCGCGCGCCCGCTGGAGCAACTATTCCGGTTGCGCGCGCTAAAACGGGAGATTTTGGGACACGGCGCTAGTTTAGCGCATCTGTTGGAGATGCTGTGAGGGAGGGCTGCGGATCACATGCGCCAAAGGTGGCGGATCGGGCCCTGCTGTGCCACCACATGGCCTGTCTGCCTGCTTTTAATCCAAGCCACCCACCTCCACATGCACCAGGGTAGCCCACACGGCCTGCCTTCCTTCCTATGATCCGCCCGCCCTCGCTACATCACTATCCTTATCGTGGGAGAACAAAGGGAAGAGAATCATATGCGTGCAGCAGCCATTGCAAAGCTGCTAGCACACCACATGCACGCACGCACCCACCTTGCATCGCACACAAGGCAAGGACTATGCAGATCAATCACACAAAATGACTATACACCAAGCAGCGGCAGCAGCACCCGATTACATGCACGCACGTACCGACTGAACTGGCAGCGATTACCAAGCAAGCTAATTAGGGGCGGCACGCAGTTAATCTACGCGTGCCGACCGAGCACACACACATACACACACACACACTCCCATTTCGTATACTACTACTCCCATGAGTTGAGGGCTGAGGTGAGGCTATCTCGTGTCATCTGTCTCTTCGAGATCTTCTTTTTTTTTCTTCTCTTTTTGTGCGGCGGCCGGTGCATGGCCGGCCGTCGGCTTAGACGGAGGAGGTGGAGGAAGAAGAGGAGCAGACGCGGTGGCGCGGGCAGGAGACGAGGTGGTCGTTGGTGAGCCCGACGGCCTGCATGAAGGAGTGGAGCACGGTGGGGCCGACGAACCGGAAGCCCCGCCGGACCATGTCCTTGCTGATGGACTCCGACTTGGACGTCTTCACCGGGATCTTCCGGCTGTATTTGTACCCCGGCGACAGCGCCTTCTGGTTCACGAACCCCCACACGTACTTGCCAAACGACCCGAAGTCCCTCCTCACCTGCACGCCAAAACATCCTTAGATTTTCTTCCTTCTTCTTCTAAACCTAATGAGGCTTAATTAAGATACTACTCTATTTAATTAACAGGTTGTACGTAGAATGTATTAGTTTGTACGTACAAGTATTATACAGGTTAAAAATACTCCGTGGTCGGTGTGCTTCTGACAAAACAGGTGGCGTCATCTACCTACATGCGTAGTACTTATTAGTGAGGGCTGTGGTGGTTGATTGGTGGTTAGGCGCCTAACATAATTGCGAGCGGTTACGTCGTGTGGAACACTCACACTACTCTTCTCAACCACGGAGGAGAATATTTTGTGGACTGTTGCATGAGCGTCTTTTCCTTCCAGCTATCAAATGTTGCATCCCTCTTTTTGGTTGCATCGCATCGAGCTTTATGAGACGCACTTGCCTTGCTTATGCAAAGTATAGTGCCATTTAAATAGCACTTGCTGCCCATACAAGAGCTGTCCACCACTAGGGTGTAAGCTGTCAGGGATTCTGCTAAGCTTCGCTTTCACTTAAACTGTGATATTACGAGTAATGCTACACGTACAAACGATTTACAAGGTTTTACAAAAAGAGTTAATTTGATTGGTCAATAGATGGGGAAGTGTCCCTCTGAAAATCAGGGGGGCAAATTTATGATTGGTTAGTAGATGGAAAAAATCCTAGTGAGCGTGTAAGCGTGTAATTGCGTGTAACTCTTTGTATGTTTAGCAGTATTGGTGATACTACTGCCTTGTCAACTCTACTGTCAATCGGGAGCAGTAACACAAACAGAAAAAATCTAAGATATGGCAAATGGGCGCGGCGGACGGTAGGTACCTCGAGCATGCGGCAGGCGTTGTTGACGGCGCCTCGGATGGTGCCCAAGTCCAGCCCGTACCCGGCGCTCACGGAGGCCATCTGCTTCTCCGTGTACTTGGCGACCGCGTCCACGTCGAACCCGGAGAATGCCTCCCTATTCGTCACCAGGCACAGGCGCAAAATCAGCACAGACATCGCGGCAAATGCAAGCAAAACAAAACAGCATGGGCGATCGCTCTGCATGCTCCAAACCAACCTGTAGATGTGTCTCCTCCTGAGGATGGAAGCCCAGTCGGCCCCGACCTGCACGCCGGACAGCGTCAGCATCTCGAACAGCAGCCTGTCGACCGGCCAAGAAAAGAAAATGTGAGAAACCATCGCTGCCAAGATCGGCCGGTTTTGATGTGATGTGATGTAGTGCTGTGGTTGGGCGGAAATGGCGGCCACTCACTCGTCCTCGTGCACCGGCACGCCCCACTCCTCGTCGTGGTACGCGACGTACACGGGGTCCGAGTACGCCGTGATGAAGCTGCAGCGCTTCTCCTCCGGTGCAGCGGCGGGCGTGGCGGGCGCTGTCGCGGTGGCGGTGGCGGTGGCCCCGACCTTGCCCTCCACCCGGGAGAAGGAGGCGGTGCGGCCGTAGTGCGCGATCCGCATCTTGCGCTGCGCCTGCGCCTGCGTCACGTGCTCCCGCTGCGCCGCCGCGATGCTCCCGGCGGGGCCGGCCAGCTCGAACGCCTCCAGCGCCGCGAACGTCACCACCGGCAGCACGGCGCCGCTCTTCTTGCCCGCCTGCTTCCTGTTCTTGTCCGCGCCCGTGGACGCCGCCGCCCTGGCGCCCGCCGCCTTGGCTCCCGCCGCCTTTGCCGAAGTAGGCGGCAGTAGGTAAGGCGTCGCGGCCGCCGCGCCGGTGTTCTTGGGCGCTGCCGTGCAGGTGATGGCGGCGGCGGCAGCGGCATTGTCGTACGCAGCAGGCATCGAGAGCGACTTCTGCAGGGACTTCTTGAGCGGCTTGGCGCCTTCCGGCGCCGCGACGCGGTTGCCGCCCGGCTGCAGGACCGGGCGGCCGTCGATCTGGGCGACGCCGGCGGACTTGACGTTGGAGTTACACATTTTGCCTGGGAGGGAGACTGTCTGGGTTCGATTCGAGGCGTGGTGGTTCACGGCGCTTTGAGCTGGCTGTGAGATGTGATATGAGGACTGCGGTGGATTGTGGTGCGGCGAGCGAGGCGGTATATATAAGCGGGGAGCTGGGCGCGGATGACGAAAGGTAGACGAAGGTGGTAGGGACGGGGAGGATGTGAGGTGGCGAGCAAGGGTGGGGACAGGTCACAGGTGAGGTGAGGTGAGGAGAAGTCTCTGTGCATGGCTGCATGCATTGGAGTTTTGGAGCCAATGCTCCTGCAGTGACGGTTAGCTTGCTTTTGATATTCTTTTCGTGTTGTATCCAACGGCTTGGGCGGTAAGGATCGGTTGGGATTGGTCAACTTGTCTTCTGGCTTATTGTAGATTTTTGAGAAATATAATTCATGGCCGGCATATAACCTACTTTTTGTCCTGCTTGCCAAGTTTCAACTTTCAACGAACTTGTTCATAAAATTATGAAGAGGATTAATGCTTGGAAAGAGTAGTGCTTATCAGTTGCTGGAAAAGAAACTTTGCTCAAAGCAATTGCCCGAGCCATTCCGATTTATGCAATGTCAATATTTAAATGACCAAGTTTTTTTAAAAGTATTTAAATTACCAAAAGGTATCTGCAAAAAACATGGCTTATGTAATTGCCAATTTCTGGTGGGGAGATGATGGAAATAGTAGTAAAATGCACTGGTTTGCATGATGAAAATTTTGTTTCCAAAGAGTCTTGGAGCGTTGCGATTCTGTGACTTGCACTCGTTCGGTTTAGCTATGTTGGCCAAGCAAGCTTGGATAATGTTATGCAATCCTAATTTCTTATGTGCTACAATATAAAAGCTAAACACTATCAAAATCAGAGCATTCTTGAAGCTGGACTGGAAAAAGGGTCTTCTTTCACGTGGCAACGTATTTTTGCGGGCATCCAAACTTTTAAAAGAAGTTGTATTTGGAGAGTCAAATAACATTTGGAAAGATCCATCTATTACCAGAATTCTGGACAGGAAGGTAATTACGCAAAGAGGTAATATTCTAATAAATAAGGTGTCTCACTTGATTGTCCCATCTTCGGGACAATAGGATGAAGAATTGATTTGGTCTGTCTTTACACCTATAGATGCTTCCAGAATACTGAGTATTCCTTTGAGTCCGAATGGGCTTGATGATTTTGTTGCTTGGCATTATAACCACAATGGGATTTTCTCGGTAAAATCAACATATCATGTGGAATGGAGATATAAATATTAGTACTCATGATAATACTGCTGATATGTTGACAAAGCTAGTTCATGTTGCTAAGTTTGAGTTTTCCTCAGACTTAGTTGGTATAATACATTAGCCCTAGTGGTTGTTTGGCGCCGAAGTGTTTTCTTCGTTGTTCAGAGAGGAGGTTCTCATTCATGCTACAAGATGGAATTTGTCTCAAGGTGGAGTTTTTATATTGTGACCCAAATTCAAGTATAAAGACAAAAACTAAGTTTTGACGAGCGAGCGGAGCGAGGCCCGTCGCCGGTAGGCTTGGGCCGGACCTCCCACAATATAGTGAACTTATGTTGGTTGGCGCCCATGTTTTTTTCTCTCGAGTTTGAGGGGTTTTCCACGTTAAAATCTCGTGTCTCCTGTGTTGATTTCGTTCTTCGTCGTTTGATTTTCCCGTTGTATCTCTAACAGGTACTAACCCAATATGGAAGAAAGTTTGGTCACTTCCAGTTCCTGGAGAGGTGAAAACATTTTCTATGGAAAGTGTTGCACGGAGCCATTCCCGTTAAATCAACCTTGGTGAATCGACATTGGGACTGATAGCTTGTGTCCTGTATGTCGCACATATCAAGAGTATCTAAAACATCTCTTATTCGGCTATAAACCAGCACAGGAGATGTGGGAGACGCTACAGTTAGAGCAGTTGACAACGGATGCTTCCACCGTTGACAGAGCAGGATCATCAATCTTGGAAGAGCTCCCGGACTCATCTTCGGGTCCATTACTTGAATCACCGTATGTTGGAGTCATAGAGGTTGTCGTCGTGGCAGCATGGTACCTCTGGTGGATTAGAAGAACGGTCTCGCGTAATGACAGAACTTCACCGGCAGCAAGCTAGAAACTTGTAGTTTATCTCTTTGTTCTAACTTCATGAAGGAAACCCAGAGGTCGAATGGTAGAGAAATTAATTGTGAAATGGGTTAAGCCAGAAGCAGGCCATGTTAGACTCAATGTCGATGCCTCCTATCATAGAGAAGATGGAGATGTGGCGACAGGGCAATTCTAATAGGCAGGTTTGGAAACTTTCTGGATGGCTCTTGCTCTTTTGTTTCTCATGCTTCGTTAGCCTTGATGATGGAATATGTGGCGATGAGAGAAGGGTTAGCACCAGTGGAATTTCTAGGCTACCATCAAATTGTTGAGTAATCTGATTGCTTGGGGGTCATTGAAGCTTGCAGAGGTGGTAACACGTGGTGGAATGAAGGAGCGGCAGTATTCGCGGATTGTGTCAATTTGGTTGTGGAAATAGGTTCAGTTCACTTTTCTCACTGTTTTTCGGGAGGCCAATGGCGTTGCACACGAGATTGCTAATCATAGTTATGATAATCATTTATTTTGTAATTGGGTAGATGAACCTCCTTCTATTGTTCATGTATCTCTGGTGAATGATGTAAGTGTGCTTATTTGATCAATAAAGTAAGCCAGTACATGATGACATTTCCTAAAAGAACTTGTTCATAACAGTAACTTTGTTCATGTTCATAATGCTTGGCAATGGCAAGAGCAGATTGAGAATGTCGAGCCTTGCCAAATCTTCTGTTTTGTATAAAAAATTGAAGCAGGGGAAAAAGACTTACTCATTCATTATTTAAGAAGGAGAGCTTAGAATACATAAAGCCGACTTCACAACATAGACCGTCGAAGAAAACAGACACACATGAATTACTCTCGCAGCATGATTATGCTCAAATGCCTAGCCCTACGATGATCCACGATTTTTCCTTCTCTTGGATGAGTTTTAGTATGTAATAGGGCGACGGCGATTTCTTCCTGAAGACTCTAGCATTTCTCTTGTTCCAGATAACCCAATAGACAAACACTGTGACTGAGGCCATGATCCAGTTCGTCGTATTCGGTTTTGACATGCTTGTCCACCAACACTTGACATTGTGTTCCGCTAGCCAACTATTTATCTCCAGAGCCCCTAATCCAAGCCAGTTCTCGACCATTCTCCAAATGCACGGTGTAAACCGACATTTAAAGAAGAGGTGGGCAGATGTCTCGTTAGCCCTCCTGCAAAGGTACAGAGGCCACGATTTTCCCAAACCCTCTTCTTCAATCTATCCACTACCCATAATCTATTTTGAAGAACTAACCAAGAGAAGAACTTGACCTTGGGAGGTGCCGAGACCTTCCAAATGGTCTTGTTCATGGTGGTCGACGGGGGTACGAATAATTGGGACCAATAAGTAGAAGCCACTGATAACTGTCCATACACCACAAATTTCCAAGAGATGTCATCATCAACGTCCATTTCTAATTGCATGTGCTCGATACACACCCAGAGGTCCACAAACTCAGCAATATGACTGGGTTGATCTTGTGCACCCAAACATTGTCCCGCAAGGCATCCCTCACGAACCAATTCTTGCACTTGGAGGCCGCAAATAAGAGGGATGGTGATATCCTTTGGCCTTTTCCCTTGCAACCACGACGTATCCCAAAAGGCATCTTCCCACCATTTCCAAAGGTAATTAGGTGTAAGCATAAAATAGGTTCATATCCACCTCGGTGCACGGTTTCCCCAACCTGACCCACAACTTACTTGGATCCTTCCATGCCACCCAGGGCCATCTAAGTCCGAAAGCTCTCACAAATTTTCCCAAGTGAAGGATCCCAAGCCCACCTAGATGGTTAGGACGGCAGACTCTCTCCCAGTTGATCTTGCATTTTTCTCCTGCAGTTTTATCGCTAGCGGACCAAAGAAATGCACACTAAATCTTGTTGATGTTCCACATCACACCTGGGGGCATAAAGGGGGGATGTGGTAAATGACTTGTCAAGTAAGGACCGATTTCACCAAGGTCGCCCGGCTGATCGTGGTTGTCGGTGTCAAAACCGGCGGATCTCGGGTAGGGGGTCCCGAACTGTGCGTCTAAGGCGGATGGTAAGAGGAGGCAGGGGACATGATGTTTTTCCCAGGTTTTGTCCCTCTTGATGGAAGTAAAACCCTATGTCCTGCTTGATTTATTCTTGATAATATGAGTAGTACAAGAGTTGATCTACCACGAGATTGGAGAGGCTAAACCCTAGAAGCTAGCGTATGGTATGATTGTATGTTGTCCTACGGACTAAAACCCTCTGGTTTATATAGACACCGACGGGGGCTAGGGTTACACAAGGTCGGTTACAAAGGAGGAGATATACATATCCGTATTGCCTAGCTTGCCTTCCACGCCAAGTAGAGTCCCATCCGGACATGGGACGAAGTCTTCAATCTTGTATCTTCGTAGTCCAACAGTTCGGCCAAAGGATATAATCCGGATGTCCGGATACCCCCTAATCTAGGACTCCCTCAGTAGCCCCCGTACCAGGCTTCAATGACGATGAGTCCGGCGCGCAGTGTTGTCTTCGGCATTGCAAGGTGGGTTCTTCTCCAAATTTCGAATGTTTGTTAAGCAGTGTCTGGTCCCATAAATGTTGGACCTCTTGGCTTCTGCGCCCAATAAGGGCTATCTTCCACACGTCGAATGAATACGAGGCGCCAGGGCGTTTTTACATTCGCCCCCCTAGCCAGACAAATAAATTGTCTATTAAAGGGATGGGGATTCTTAGATCCAATCCATACCATCCTCCCCCAGCGAGAATCCATCGGAGCGCGCTTCAGAAAGATCCACTGCAGCATGGCCGACCTCCGCAGCTCCTCCTCCCGCCCCCATATCCCTAAGCCCGGTGATTGGGAGAGGTGTTCAGTCCCATACAGTCGATTAGTTGAACTGCAG